TAGATTTACAGTTAATTATATTCAGTGCTCAAGACTAGTTATTTTACTGTGGCTTCTCCATGACTGTGTTCTTAATTTTGAATCATCTTTTAATTCCCCGCTTTCACACATACTTTGCCCTACTTCCTCCCTCCACCAATTTAAAGAGGTACTTCATGTTTGAGAATGCCTGGGGCTTTTATACTTAACCAGATCCTGGCTGAGTAGTTTTTAATCTCTTTTGCTTTAGTTCGGAACTTAGTACACATTGCTTTGTTGTCTTCCGGCGTTCATTGTTGCCTCAAAGTCAGAGAAGAGTCCGATCATTTCCTCTTCCTCCCTCCTCTTCCTCCTCCCCCACCATAGCATTCTGCCATTGGCCTCCAAAATTTATGTCCTTCTCACATGAAGGATACATTCATTCCGTGCCAGTACCCCAAAACTCTTAACTTGTTCCATCACAAACTAAGAAGTCTAAGTCTAGAGTTTGACCTAGTATCATTTAAATCAGATGTGGATGAGACTCATGGTGTGAGTCATCGTGAGGCCAGTTGCTCTCAAACTGTGAGCCTGTGAAATGAAACAGGTTATGTGCATTCAAAACACTGTGGTGGGACAGGCATAGCATAGACATTTCCATTCCAAAAGGGAAAAATAAGAAAGGAATGATAGATAAATCCCAAGCCACTCGAAAACCAACAAGGCAAACAGCGTTAAATCTTAAGGCTCAAGAGTAATCTTTGACTCCACGTCCTGCCTCTGGACACCCTGGGGTAGGACTTGTGTTGCTATAAAGGAATACCTGAGATTGGGTAATTTATAAATAAAAGAGGTTTTGTTTTGTCTTATGGTTCTGCAGGCTGTACAGGAAGCATGGCGCTGCCATCTGCTTCTGGTATGGGCCTCAGGAAGCTCACAATTATGGTAGAAGTCAGCAGGGAGCCAGCAAGTCACATGGAAGAGCAGGCGCAGAAGAGAGGAAGAAGGTACCACATACTCTTTAACAAGCAGATTGCATGTGAGCTCACTCATCACCAAGGGCGTGATGCTGAGCTATTCATTGAGGGATGCACCCTAGTGATCGAAACACCTCCCACCAGGCCCCACCTCCAACAATGTCCCCACTGTTACATTTTACTGTGAGATTTGGCAGGCACAAATACCCAAACCATATCCAGCCTCAAAGTTCTGGGGGACACTGCTCCTATATTTTTGAAGGGCACAGACCATGCTGCAGCTCTTACAGGTTGGAGTCTTGTGTCTCTACAAGGCTGGAGTTGCACACCGGTGGGCCCTACCCTTCCAAGTTTCAGAGACAGCCCCAATCCATGTTGTATCTGAGCATTGCCCTAGTGGAGGCTTTCTGTGGTGATTCTGCCTTCACACCTGTACTTCGGACTACAGGGGCACTATGGGGGCACTCTGCAGTGGCTCTGTCCCATGACACCTCTCAGCCTGGATACTCAGGCTTTTCTGGTATCTTTCGAAATATAGGTGGAGGCAGCCACACTCTCATAGCTCATGCACTTTGCACACCTGTGGAGATGGCACTCTGCAAACACCATGCCAGGGTTTATCACCTTTGTCTTCTAGAAGGGTGATCTGAGTTGCACCTGAACCTACTTGAGCAACAGCTGGGGTAACCAAGGAGCACTGCACCAGAATTTAGGGAACAGAGCCTTAAAATTGTTCTGCCACAAGGCCCTGGGGTTCTGGATCTGTGATGGGCAGGGCAGCTCTGAACATCTCTGAAATCCCTTACTGGTCATTCTCCCGTTGTCTCAATGAATAGCATGTAGCTTCCTTCCATCCACATGAATCTCCTTAACAGATGCTTGTACCATGCCTTTGGTTTCTCTCTTGAGCAAGCTGTATCATTCTTTACATGGCTAGGCTGAGGATTTTCCAAATCTTTAAATTCTGCTTCCCTTGTGATTGTAGATTTCATCTTTTATTTGTTTCTATCTTCTCACCTTTTACTATAAGTCGAGAAGCCACAAAGCACCCTCAAGACTTTCCTTGGATATTTTTTTTTTACTAAATATCCTGTTTCGTCACTCTCAGACTACTTCTACAGAACACTAGGACACAAGCACAATCCAGCCAGGTTCTTTGCCACTTTATTACAAGATCACCTTTTCTTCTGTTTCTAGTAACGTGCTTCTCATTTTTTTCTGAGACCTCATTAGAATGGCCTTTACCATCAAACATTTTGACTGTGACCATTAACATGATCTCTAAGAAGACTGAAGCTTTCTCAGCAGTTCTCCTCTTTTGAGCCCTCACCACTCTTAATGCTCCTTCCACAGCAATGTAGGCTTTTTCTAGCATGCACATCCATATTCTTCCAGCCTCTACCCATTACCCAATTCCAAAGTTACTTCCACATTTTTAGGTGTTTGTTATGGCAGCACCACGCTACTGGTGCCAACTTCTGTTTTATTATGTTCAGGCTCCTATAACAAAATTCTCAGACTGGATAATTTATAAACAAATTTATGGTTCACATTTCTAGAGGCTGGGAAGTCTAAAACCAAGGCATCAGCAGATTCAGCGTCTGGTAAGGGCCTGTTTCTCATAGATGGTACCTTCCAGCTGTAGCATCACAGAAGGGGAAAACAGGCTTCCTTAAACCTCTCTTATAATGGTGGTAATCCTATTAATGAGGGTAGAGCCTTCCTGACCTAATTATCTCCCAAGGCCCTTCCTCTGAAAACCATCACCTTGGGAGTTTTAACGTAGGAAGTTTGAGAAGGACATTCAGATTAGAGTGAGCACTAAATCATGAGGGTTCCACCCTTACGCTGAAATTACCTGACATAGGACCCACCCCCTAATAACTATCACAGTGGGGTTAGGATGTCAACATAGGAATTTAGGGGGCAACACAGATGTTCAGTCTGTAACACCAAGTTACTCAGGTTGAAATTCTAAACTTGAAGAATGTAATCAATTTGAACATTGTAGTATTGAAAAAATGTTAAAACCACAATGTTTTGATTTTATATTTAGCCTGAGAATCCCAGAACTTTTTCACTTGTGTATTTTACATCTGCCTCACAGCTTTAAAAGAGAAATTAGAATCCAAACCAGTGAACTTCTTTTACTTCTAAAAGACCTGTACAAGCTTCACTTTTAAAATATGCTGATATGTTAAAATGTTCTGCCACATTTTAGATATAAAGTATAGTAAAATAAAGTAAGATATATTCTCTTTCATGCTTTTGCAGTATACAGAAAAATGGTTATACTTTTCTTGTATGCTTTCTGTGGGCTTTTTGATTGAAAACATTGATATTGTAGGTTGTAGGTATGCTAAGAACCCCTCAGATACCTTTCTGGTAATGATTAACACTTTTTTTTTTTTTTTTTAAGATGGAGTTTCACTCTTGTCACCCAGGCTGGAGTGCAGTGGCGCAATCTCGGCTAACTGCAGTCTCCGCCTCCTGTGTTCAAGCGATTCTTCTGCCTTAGCCTCCCTAGCAGCTGGGATTATAGGTACCTGCCACCACACCCAGTGAATTTTTTGTATTTTTGATAGAGACAGGGTTTCGCCATGTTGGACAGGCTGGTCTCAAACTCTTGACCTCAGGTGATCTGCCCACCTCAGCCTCCCAAAGTGCTGGGATTACAGGCATGAACCACTGCCCAGTCGATTTAGGTTGTTCTGTAAGCACTAGTTTGAATTCTGTTAGCTATACAACAGTTAACTTTCTTGTTTACAGTTCATAGGAATCATCTCAGGACCTGAACTAAAACTGTGTACAGTTGTTTAATGAGGCTGCTTGAAATTTCAATTGATTTATTTTTAGCTTTATTTGTAGATTATGTGTACTATATCTGTAACCTGTTTTTAGTCTATAAGAATTTGTGTAACTCTCTCACATGGGCGCTGTCTCCCCTCCACCCCCACCCCCCACACACATCCCTCGGTAAACTATGTTTAGACCGTGCTTGGGTTGAACTACTACTGTAATGAGTTTGGTTACCGTACTTCTACCACATAATTATATGCAAAGGGCACATAACCATTGACTCCAGTGCTCCATTCCTAGCATATACCACTTAGTCTGTTTTATCCTACGATAGCAGAATACCTGAGACTGGGTAAGTTATAATGAACAGAAGTTTAATGGCTCATATTCTAGAGGCGGGAAATCCAGTATCAAGGTGCTGGCATCCAAGGGCTTCTTGTTGCATCATCACCTGGCAGAAGAAGAGAGAAGAGGGGACGAAAGAGCAAGAGGGAGCTGCGCTAACACATGAGGGTGGAGCCTCATGGCCTTATCACCTCTTCTTAAAGGTCCCAACTCTTAATACTATTACAATGGCAATTAAATTTCAACATGAATTTTAAAGGGGACAAGCATTCAAGCTATAGCATTCTGCCTGCAGGCCCCCACGTCTCATGTCCTTCTCATAAACAAAATAGTTCATTTCATCTAAATAGCCCCACAAGTCTTGTAACAGCTTGAACTTAAAAGTCCAGAGTGTCATCTAAATTAAATGTGAGACTAGTCTTTTTTAAGTGAATGTTTTCCCTTTTTGCTTTTATGCTCTAAAATTTTCTTTCTTATCCAGTGACTATGTAAATTGTCATTAATTTTCAAGTGAAATTTTTAAATTTGGGGGCGCTTTGATTTGATTTTTGTTTTTTTAATTTACTACTTAATCAGAATTTCTTATTGCTAATTATCGTATTTAAACTGAACTTATTGTTACGAACTTACTGAAGAAATGGCTTTCCTCCTTTCTTTCAAACATGGGATTTCTTCTAGATTTTGCCTAATAGGAACTTAATATTAGGATAAATAATCTTATCTTTTGTTTGCAATGTTGAATAAGAGCCAATGGATGTTTTAATTTTTCAAATGATATTTTCACCCAAAAATTTAAGCATGAAAAGAATGAAAATCTAAATGAGTATTTATAAATACCTCACATAGTTCTGATTTTAATTTGTTTTTAATTTCCTTTTTAGCTACTCCCTAATGGTAAAGCACTGTTGATTTGTTTTGCAGAATCCTTGCAGCCTTTCTTGGAAGCCTGTAGCAACTCTTCATTTTTTCGTACTTGCTCTGTGCTACTTCGAGCCCCTAAGCTTGATCTTCAAATACTTGAAAAACTCAGTATTATTTTACAGAAACTTTCCAAAATCAAGTAAGAATTTCTTATTTCTAACATTTGTATTGAAAAATAGCTTATTGTCATCATTTAGACCAGGGGTGTCCAATCTTTTGGCTTCCCTGGGCCACAATGGAAGAATTGTCTTGGACCACACATAAAATACACTAATGATCGCTGATGTGCATAAATAAATAAAATCTCATAGTGTTTTAAGAAAATTTACAAATTTGTGTTGAGCCGCATTCAGAACCATCCTGGGCCAAATGAAGCTGACAGGCTGCAGGTTGGACAAGCTTGATTTTGACCTTTCTAAATCCCATGCTACATAAACTTTGATTATTAATTAAAAATTTCCATTATACAGATGTAAAAAACTAAAATTCATAAATATTAATGCTGATCTAAGACCACGTATTTAGTGATAGACTAGAATTAGAGTACTAATTGCAGAACATCTAGTTGTTTCTATAGCTCATTTCAGATAAATGAACTTTAAATACTTCATATAAAAGTAAGATCAGTTTTTAGCAACCAAATAATAATATCTGAATAAATTCTTGTGTGCTAGTATTCCGTAATACCACAGGTGAAAATAAAAAGATAACAAAAGTATATTTTTCAAATTCTTATTGATGTACCAAAGTGAATTTAGGGAATGAGAATGAAGCAAGCAGAAGAGATTTTAAATTACTTTAGTAACAGGGTTTATTTTAGTAAACTCTTACAAACTGCCTACTGCCACTAATTTGGATTTTATTATGAAAATCAAGGGGTTTGTGTTTCCTCTTCTTTCTCCTGACTCAGAAATTTGTATAACTAGTTACTAAACTATAAATAAGAACACAGATTTTAAGCTGTATTTTCCTTGATTCTTGGTATACTCTAGTGTTTCCTTTGAGGCAAATCTGGAAACCTTCTATCTCAACTCATTTTTATAACAGTAACATTTTTATTTTTATTTAGGTCAGCTATTCTCCCCCTGGCCTCATCCCCTCATCCATGATTCCCATGGTAGAGAATTTAGATATTTTCAGGCATCCATATACTCAAGTAGTAAATACAATGCATCTTGAAATTATTTGTATAATTTGTATAATAGTGATTAAGAGATCCATATGTTCTATTTGATAACTGCCTAGTAGTGCATCGTAATAAATTATTGTCAAATTATAACCTTATTCTCAACTGACCAAATTATTAGTTTTGGTCTGGTATCTGCTGAATTTATCAATTTACTATCTTCCTTTTCTTGCCGACTATACCATGCATGATTCTCTTGATTTATGATCAGTACATTCGTAGTAAGACCTGTTGCAGTTACCCTGTGGTGCCATGAAGCTGCAATAATATCACTTAGATTTAATTCTTTTTTAGTTCCTAATTCATGGGATTTTTAAAAAGTGGTCCTAAAGTGCAAGTATATTCTTGGGCCAAAATGTTTTACTATTCGTGATGTGTTTGTAGCTTAGGTTCATTTTTGACTTAAATAAAAAACTAGAACAAAGCTTGAACAAGAAGATTGGGAATAGTTGATGCTCAAGCAAGACTTCAAATAAATCTTTAAGACCACAAAAGGTGTAAATCCTTTTGTATTAGGATAGCACATAAGGTTATTTGACAAATTCTCTCAAGAGGTAAAAATAGACAAGGAAATAAGAAACATAAAGTATAATTCTTCATGATTGAAATGAAATTACTGACTGGTTATTAGAAAGAGGATGATTAAACAAGTATTTTATAGCCAAATCAAAAGGTAAACCAATATTAAACATAAAATAGGATGATCAAATGTTCATCTGTCTTGCTAGCTGTGAAAAAAAATTCTCATGCTTTCTAATAATGAATACGGTGCAGTTTTCAGGGTTATAAAATGTTTCCAGGCTGGGCGTGGTGGCTCATGTCTGTAGTCTCAGCACTTTGGGAGGCCAAGGAAGGATGATCGCCTGAGCCCAGAAGTTCAAGACCAGTCTTAGCAACATAGTGACACCCTGTCTCTACAAAAAATAAAATTAGCCAGGTTTGGTGCTGTGCACCTGTAGTCCTAGCTACTCGGGAGGCTGAGGTGGGAGGATTTTTTGAGCTGGGGAGGTTGAGGCTACAGTAAGCTGTGACCATACCACTGCACTCCACCTGGGTGCCAGAACAACACCTTGTCTCAAAAGAAAAAAAAGTTTCCTTTTTTCCCCAATGCTTTTCTGCTTCAGTTTATCTCATAAACCCATTTTGTTTGTTTCAGCATTCTAATCTTTTAGTCGCCTATTTTCTCCGCTGTTTTTAAAAACAGATGCCATTTCCTAATGTTTACATGTAAATTGTCTTTCAGTGTCATTGTGGATGAACTCCCTAAATATGTGTAATTAAATAATACATTCATTTGTTTACAGGAGTAATAAGAAGCTCTTTGAACTTTTTACGATTCATCTGATGCTTCAAGAAATACAAAGGACAACAAACCCAGAGCATGCCTTTCTCTGTATTAATCTGAATTCAACTCTGTTCAATTTGGGTTTAACAAAATGTAACTCCCTGGTCTCCAGTGCAAGCCATTAGACTGGCTTATTTTTTATTATAGTAGATATGGTGCCTATTTATAAACATGTAAAAATTACCAAAGTAACAACAATTCTACCAAGTAAAGTTATCAATAGCATCATTTATCATGAAAAATAAATGATTTGTTTGAATTTTAAAAATGAAATCTGTAGAAGGTATTGGAACTTTTGGAATGCTTCAGTTCAGGTAAGGTAGTACTAATGTGCAAGATGGCATTTCTGGAATGTATGACACTGACATTACTTTTTGTAAAAATATATTAGGAAAATTCTTAAAATTATGTGATTATTTGGAATAAATTTGGTGCCTATGTGAGAACAAGGTTAAATAATACTGTTTTTCCATTTTCTTAATATACTAGAATCCTTCTTTTTGGAAGCAGAAGTATGTATCTTTATCATCTTGATAGCATAACTTTTCTATATACTACATTCTAGATTAACAGATACTGATTTTTAAAATTGTGCTCTTTGTGGGATTAAAAAATTATTTTTTATTGTGCTGTTCACAGGACTAAAAACTTTTTTTTTCCAAAATAATTATTACTGGAGCATGTATATACAATACAAGACATTCTTTAAGTGTTTAAAGGTAAACAAAAGATATTCCTGTTACCAGAAATATCTCTTGATTTAGCCAAAGATGAGTAAAGTGACCACAGATCTGAGTGAGTGAAGGTGGTGAGACTTGGGACTTAGGACAGGATACTGAGGAACATTGTTTGAAAGAGCCATGAAAGCATATATGATCAGTTTATAAGCTCAGTTTCAGGATTTAGAAGAATTTTTCAAAAAAGTATTAGGCCTCTTTAAAAAAATATAAGAAAATGTGCCATTTTTGAAGTAAAAACAAAATCAGAAGGAAAGAACAGGCTAAGGTGAGCATGGTGGAACTCACAGAAACTTAAAAAAGGAGAAGGCCAGGCACAATGGCTCATTTCTATAATCCTAGCACTTTGGGAGGCCAAGGCAGACGGATCACCTAAGGTCAGGAGTTCAAGACTAGCCTAGCCAACGTGGTGAAACCCCATCTCTACTAAAAATACAAAATTAGCTGGGCATGGTGGCAGGCGCCTGTGATCCCAGCTACTTGGGTGGCTGAGGCAGGAGAATCACTTAAACCTGGGAGGCAGAGGTTGCAGTGAGCCAAGATCATGCCATTGCACTCCAGCCTGGGCAACAAAGTGAGACTCCGTCTCAAAAAATAATTAAAAAATAATGATAAAAATGCAGAAGCCAAAGTGCACATTAGAAACAAAAAAAATAACATGATTGATACTTCATAAAATAGGAGAAGTATGACGAGAAAGAACAAACGAAAAGCTCTCTCGGAACTCAGAGTACATAGAGATGCTGTTAGCGAGAGTGGATGGCAGATACTAGGATAGAGCCTGGCACTTCTGTATGGTGGCATTTGGCATTTCTGAAAAAGAGAACAGAACAAGTAGAGCAGAAGCAATATTCAGAAATATAGTTGAATAAAGATTCTGGCAGCCAAAGAAAGAGCTGCATGTACAGATTGAAAGGGCTCATCATGTTCCAGAAAAACCTATGAGAAAGGGGTTCTACAATTAGATGCATCCTGGCCAAATGGTAAGCTATAAGGATAAAAGCACAAACAAAAGCCAATTACTTACAAGAAAGGAAAAACCAGGCTAGCCATACAGAATGCTGGAAGGTAATAGGGAGCTCTAGAGAAGATTTTTAGTCCAAGAATTTATCCCTACTGAAGTTGCCTTTCATAGGTGATGACAATGAAAAGACATCTTCAGACATTGGAGTGTTGAGAAATTATACGACATATGTATTACTCTGGAGGGAAAAAATGACTTAAAGATTAATCAACTTAGAGATGAAAGAAAACAGTTGATTAAATCAACCTCATGACAAAAGACAGCACTGAATACTGAAACAAATTAAATATTAATTTAAATAATTGTTATAACTCTGTTTATAAGATGGAGTGAGATGCTAAAGTCCCCCAAAGGATAAATAGTGGTAAAAGCAGCCCCCCCGCCCCGCTCTTCCTTTGTCAATCATCATGATATGTGCCGTTAACTCCATTTCTCACCATGTCTTCTCACAAGTCTTTCAGGGTCAAGTGATTTCAGGCCAAGAAACAAAAACAAAATTGTCTTATTCTCCAGTGTATTCAGATGAAAACTGGTAATAAAATCAGGTACAGTCCCAAGAGGAGACACTGGGGAAGAACCATGCTGGGTCTGTAAGGAATTGCAAATGAGATGGCACACATATTTATGCTGTATCAAGATCACTGTCATCTTACCATATCAGGCTGAGAATGTCACCAAGAGTCAGATATGTTCCATTGGGAAAATGGTTTTTCTCTTTGTTTATATCCTCTGCACTAGTAGGGTGGTTTAGTAACAAATATGTGAGACTTTTTATTTGAAAAATATTGCTTTTAGCCAGGCGCGGTGGCTCATGCCTGTAATCCCAGCACTTTGGGAGGCCGAGGCAGGTGGATCACGAGGTCAAGAGATCGAGACCATCCTGGTCAACATGGTGAAACCCCGTCTCTACTAAAAATACAAAAAATTAGCCGGGCATGGTTGCACGTGCCTGTAATCCCAGCTACTCAGGAGGCTGAGGCAGGAGAATTGCCTGACCCAGGAGGCAGAGGTTGCAGTGAGCTGAGATGACACCATTGCACTCCAGCCTGGGTAACAAGAGTGAAACTCCATCTCAAAAAGAAAAAAAAAAAAAAGAAAAAGAAAAAAAAAAAGAAAAATATTGCTTTTAAATAATGGGAAAAGCAATATGTTAGTAGTATTGGGATAAGATTAATCTAGCCTTTGTTAACAAAAACAGAATTGATGGGGCCTTGAGATTGGGGTAGAGATGAAAGAGGAGCTGTTAAGTACAATATTCTACATTATCAGAAATCTGAGTCAAGTGTTCCATTTCACTGTTAGAAAAATGTAGGATAAAGAATGCGTCTGGAAAATACCAAGTGAACTATTAAAATAAAAATAGCGTAAGTATTCTCAAAACACTGGAAAAGAAAAATGAAATATCTATATAGATATAGCAAAAAATAGAATGACAAGAACATGAACAAAAATGTTTAGGATAAATAAGGGACGTTTTAAAAATTATAAATACATTCCTTATGGTCATATGCTAATAAATTTGAAAATCTGAATGAAATGGACTGTTTTCTAGGAAAAGATAAAAATTGGCTTAAGAAATCTGCACTAGCAAATCATTGCTGTCTTTTATTTATTTACTTTTTTGTGGAGACAGGGTTTTGCCATGTTGCCCAGGCTGGTCTTGAACTCTTGAGCTCAAGCAGCCTGTCTGCCTTGGCCTCCCAGAGTGCTGGGATTACAAGCATGAGCCAGTGCACCTAGCCTACAGTCTTTTATAAACTTATCAAATAATTATTTTTTAAAATGGCTGCAAGTCCAGGTGTTTTACAAGTGGATTATTTTAAAATTTCAACATGAAATATTTAAAGTTATTTAAACTGTCCCAGGATGTAGAAAAATCATCCAAAGTTATTTCATACAGTTAGCATAAACCTACTATCAAACAGTTGGCAAAATGAGAATAAAATAGATTCAAAAGTCTCAAAGAATTATGGAGAAAGCAATACCAACTGCATATGACAGGAACATTAATCCATGATTAGGATAAAATACATTCTAGAAATACAAGATTAACTTTCTAATAGAAAAATATGTTTTGGCCAGGCTAAGTTTTTAGCATGTTATTATTATTTAATCCTCATAATAACTTTGTGATGGGTCTTTTAATTGTTATCATTTTATAGATCAAAAAAGAAATGGGATTAGGGAGATCTAAGTGACTAAGCCACTATCGTTGCTGTAACTAGAGCTCTGTTAGTTGAAGGGGAGTGAGAGGAAATGTACAATACTAGATTTTTAGCCATGTTACAGTTGTGACTGGAGTCCTTGAGTTGATCTCCTCTCTTCCAACTTCCAAATTTACTGGAATAACAAAAGAAATTTTTCTAGAGTAAGCAATATGAAATAGAAAGTTTTTGTTTTCAGCAGTGTGGTGGACTATATTTATTCTTCAGGTGCACTGCAGCTCAAAATGTCAGGAGTACCTAAGCACATGATTGATCTGGTGGCAAAGCAAAACAGTTCCTTGGAGGCCAGACTTGATAAGAAACAAATCCAAAGCAAAAGAAAAAATTAAAAAAAAAAAACAGAAATCAATGTAATTGAAAATAGGAAGTCAACAAAACCAAAGCTATTTCTTTGAAAAGATCAATAAGCTTACAGTCAGGCTAACAAAACAAAATAAAACAAACAAAAAAAAGCAAGAGAAGGTATAAAATACCAAAAATGAAAGAAGGGTTCCATGTTCTGGAACTGTGGGTTCCATGTTCATAGATAGGAAGACTCAATATTGTCAAGATTTTTCTCCCAACTTGACCTATAGATACAATGAAAATCCTATTCAAAATCCTAGCAAGTTATTTTGTGGGTACCAACTGATGTTTTCCCATGAATTATGAACTTTCTTAATGGCATCTAGAAGGCTAAATTCTTTCTAGGTTTTCATAGCTAGAGAGGAGATAGGGATTAGACATCAAGACCTGGCTTCAAAGCTTCAAAAGACAGGCTGACTCTCTTGTTAGAGTTTCATAGGGTTAGTGACTTTAACTTGAAGACTGTGCTTGTTTACCATTCTGAAAATCCTAGGGCCCTTAAGAATATTATACTAAATCTCTCCTGCCTGTGCTCTATAAATGGAAGAACAAAGCCTGGATGATGGCACATCTGTTTATAGCATCATTTCCTGAATACTTTAAGCCCACTGTTGAGACCTACTGCTCGGATAAAAAAGACTCCGCTGCAAACATTACCACTTATTAACAGTGACTAAAGAGCTCCGATGGAGATGTACAAGATTAATGTTTCCATGCTTGATAACATAACATCCATTTTGCAGCCTGTGAACCAAAACATACTTTCAACTTTCAAGTCTTTTGCTTCTCCATGTAAACTTTATAATTCATGGGAGAAG